ATCAGGTCTCTCTTGTAAATGAGTCCTCGAGGCTCAATGGGATTAACATGTCTAAATAAAGGTTGAATGAATATATATTTGCTTATGAAAGGGGACCTTTGAAAATCCCAAAATGCTACAATTTTCGTTCAAATATGAAAGTTTTATGTAATCCAAAACCTTTAACATTTTGCGTTGCACGTAAATGTAGGTTTTATATATTCTGAATTAAGACTGAATTTCATACTTGATTCTAAAGAAGTTTAAGAAGCACTTTAATAAGTGAGGGTTTTTTTTTTAGGTTGTTGTTCTACTGGAACTGAAAAAGCACTAAATTAAAAATAAGACTAAGGAATGTGGAGGAAAAAAAAAGCTTAGAGTAAAAGACCGAGAGGATTTATTTAATGGAAGGAGGAATGAGGAAAAGCAGGACAGAAAAGTGTTGAGTGTTAATAAGCAGAGGGAGAGGTGAAAATGAGGCCAAAACTTATTTTATCCAGCAGTGGGAAGATGAAAGTCTTTTCTTTTTGTCTCAGTGTGAAAATAAACACCACAAGTGCAAGTGTTTCTAACTGTGTGAAAAAAAAAAAACCTTTGAATAATGAATATCTGAACAGAAGCAGAGCCTATGGAACATGTGGTATTGGTCTCATTACTGTATTTTTACTTTTACGTGGAATACAGCAGCATGGGGGAAACCTAATCCTAATGTTGGAGGTATTCTTGAGTAAATCCCAACCCAAGAAAACTGTTTTTCTCACAGCTGGACGGCCCCGGTGCAACATGTAAAACTGCGAGGCAGCGAGGATCTTTGTCCTTTGAACATGCCATTAGGCTTGTTACGAATGAACCCTGAGAAAATATGTCCACTAATTTAAGTCTCTGATCACTGATGAAACTCAGCTGCACTGAGCATGTGTGTGTGTTTGTAGTCAAAGCATGAAGAAGCAGGCAGATGGGTCACACAGTTATCCCTCTGAGTGTCTGGAGCTGGAGCAACTAATTACTGCTTAATTAAATATGACCGGTCTGTCCCTGCTCTTCCTCACCTGTGGACGATGGGTGTCAACATGCATGTTCACTCATAAAGTCTTCAGATGTTTCTCCATAAAGACAGTGGGGAACTGTAATATTAATTTGGTATAAAATAAACATTTTCAATCTTGTTTTACTTATTTTTGCTAAATTCTTTTATTTTCTAAAAAATGCTTTGCAGTTGAGCAAGACCTTTTTAATAGGGACGCACGATATAATGGTATGGTATCGGTATTGGCCAATATTAGCGTTAAAGTTCAATATCGGACATCGGCCATTCCATCAAAATAACTCACTGATATAAAAGATGCCGTTTTTGAATGATAACCCAGTGACAAGGATGCCTGCAGCGGCAGCTCAACGTGATGATGTCATGAGCACCTACCTGATCTCACGGTGGAAAGGAAAATTTAAAATGTCGGCGGTGTGGAAATTTTTTGTTGTTGTTGAGGATGTTGTTTTATGAAGATGCTTGGACTACGTTGAGCCTCGCTACATCATCCCCAGTTGGAGATATTTTTCCGACATAACCTTACCCGAGTTACAAGCCGTCATTTCCGACATCATTGAGAAGCTAATAGCCGATAGCACTTGGGTGAGTTTCTCCACAGACATTTGGACGTCAAGTGTTAGCCTCGTTAGCATGATTAGTCTAATAGCACAATGGATAGACAAAAACTTTGAACTTAAAAAGTCTGTCCTTCATGCACAGGAGCGCAGAGGATCCCACACTGCAGCTAGGAACCTGGAACAAACCTCCACAAGTGAGACAGCATCACAGCTGACTAATGCTTATAAATAACATTTAACACTTTTCATTTAATACAAGTTAAAGTGCTATGAATATCATATGGCTGTATATGTCACCAGTTCTTACAGCTGTTACATAATTTTTGTAGCAAATAAGCGTAAATAAAAGGGCTATGCTCTGACAAAGGAACATATATAAAATGTCAGTATTGGTTATCAGCCAAATAAGTTTTAACATATCGGCATATCGGGAATCGGCCAAAAATCCAATATCGTGCATCCCTAGTTTTTAATATTATGAAAATACAGTTATCTAATCAGATTCTTCTGAACATGTGTCTTCAGGAAGAAATGTTTGAAGGTTCTTTGTCATTTGTTAGGACTTCACTGTCTGCAGAGAAGGCTGAGCTCAGTCAGAGGCACTCCATGATGAGTTTGTTAAATAATTGACAGGAAAATTAGTCAATCATAATATTGATGTCTAGATTTTGTGCTGACAAAACACTGAGCGCTGAACCTTCTGGGAAGGTCCTGCAAGACATTTTTATTTGTTTTCCATGTGAAGATTTGTGATGCATTCTGTTGCAACTTGTAAATTCAAAAATTCACACAAAATATTGTAGTTGTAAAAAATGAAAGTTAAATATCCCATTTAGGAGTTTATCATAAGGGTTTCCATTCTCAGTCCTCCTGTGATAAGTGAAAAACTGCAAAGTAGGGATAGTAGTACAAGTAGTAAGTAGTTTATTTTAGTACTCTTGCAATATTTTAAACAATGTTTCTAAACTTTAAATGCTCTAAAAGAGCACAGCATGTCATGAATGCCACTCTGCCACCTGCCAGCGCTCTCGGCCACGCCCACTTCTTTGCTGCAGAGGAGAGATCATGACATGCTGCAGGCAGGAGCTTCTCCCTACACCTGTGGGCTGCACACAGGTGCAGCAGCTGCTAAATACTTTTAAATAATTTATTTTTAATAAAAATTCCATGCCGATCGTGTGGCTCATCCATCAATCAGCCAATTGTGTCTCATGTGCAATCTTATGTTGAAAAACCGCGAAAGAGCGAGCAGGCGAATGTCGAACTGTGAAGTACTGTACATAGATAATTTTCAACAATACATTTGTTTTTAGGTTTCATAAACTTGTGAATTATTTTACAGAAATAGTAAGTTCTGTTGGTTTTTGTACAATTTCTTAATTTCAATGTACTGGTAAATTATTGAAATTACATGTTGTATTTGAATGCAAGAGACTGGGTGAGCCGCAGAGCCTTCTGGGTAATCTTGGGACTGAAATGGGTGGACGTTTTCAGAATGTTATGTTCAGATGGGGCAGCACGGTGGTGCAACTGGTAGAGCTGCTGCCTCTCAGCAAGCAGGTCCTTTGTTCAAATCCTGGTCCGGGGGCCTTTCTGGGTGGAGTTTGCATGTTCTCTCCGTGCATGCGTGGGTTTTCTCCAGGTACTCCGGTTTCCTCCCACAGACCACAAACATGCATGTTAGGCTGATTGGTAGCTCTAAATTATCTCTAGGTGTGAGTGAGAGAGTGAATGGTTGTTTGTCTCTATGTGGCCCTGTGATGGACTTGTGACCTGTCCAGGGTGTACCCCGCCTCTCGCACAGTGATTGCTGGACATGGGCACCAGCGACCCCCGTGACCCAAAATGGAAGAAGCGGGTAAAAGATAAAGGATGGATGGATGGATGGAACTCTGAAGTTGTAGCTGATGAATAAAAAGGGGGAAAGTGTTACATGTTCAGTGAGTTCCTGGCTTATGAAACTGGGGGGAAAAGTGATGAAAACAAACCATGACTCCATTTTTCAATGGTAGCGTGTTATAGGTTGGTATAATTTCACTTCCTGACTCAAGGTCTAAATCTTAAAGTCACGGTTTGCTGTTAAATATGACCTAAAACAACATCTGTGACATTTTTTTCTTGCAGCTCTGCTTTCTTATTGTTCAGTTATTGCTCGATAGCTGATTCATGAACAATAGCCAAAGAGTGAGAGGCCTTTAGTTGCTTAGAGGCTCAGAAGTTAATGTGCCATGAAACACACCACATCAATGTGTTGTGAAGTTGGGACACTGATAGATTACAGTTCTGTAAAAACACACTTCACATTCACCTTTTAGATTTAAACCGCCAGACTCGGACATCACCTTCTAATAAGCTGCTAAATCTGTATGTTTGATCATACTTTTGTTTCATATGTTTAGGTATGCGTTTTAAAATTTAAAGTGTTAAAAAGCCGTGAATTTACATTTAACACCCCCTTTTTCATCTTACAGGTCCGATACTACAAATTCCTTTTAAAAAGATGCCCTAGACACTTGCAAGTTGTCAGTTAGTTGCAGCGTTGCCAACTTCTTTGCAAGATAAGTACCTAATAGTTGTCTTAAAAGTTGCTAGTAATCACTAATTTAATCATCACCTACTGTCATTTGGAAAATTGGCTGTGTGCATGAATGTAATGAAAGCTGTAGGAGCAAATAATAATGTGGGGGAGACAGAAAGTGAGTAATAAACAGCTTAAATATGTTGAACTTTGTTTTGTTCATTCTTCTTTTTTTTGGTCACAATTCCGATATTTCTGGTACATGAGATGCTGCACGAGGACTGGGCCGCTTGTTCAGAAGAATAAGAACAAAACTGCTGCCAGACATACAATAGTTATCTGATTTATACAATAGGTTTAGGGTCTATGTGACATACGATTAATAGCTTTTTGTATAAAGCCCACATATTTCATAGATTTGGCATTTTCAGGCACCAAACATCTTACCAACCAACAATCCGCCGATCCCCCTCAAAAAAACAAAGTTAGCTCATATGTTTGGATGAAAAACAACAATATAAAGTGACAGTATGACATTTGTCATTTTCTATCTGGCAAACATGGAATTATATGCGTTTTCAAGTCAGAGTCGCTAAACCTCCAAAAAATTACTAGACGTTACAACGCTACTTATTTGTCATTACTTGCTTGTTGTAAGGTTATCATTTAGCTTCAACTTCCAAGTACTTACAGTACAGTACAACTTACACATACTACTGTGTGTATCCAGAAGTATTGACCGAGCACACACACACACACACACACACACAGAAATCCTACCATTGTTGGAGCGTAGCGTCCTGGCAGCGATGCCATTTGTCCCTATAGGATGATGAACTCCAGTTCCGTCTATCACTCCTGCCTCTCCCGGCTGTTTCAAAAGCTCCGTCAAAGTCCTGGACAGGAGGAAAAGGAAATATATTTATATATGGAACAAATCATTTCATGTGCTTACAACATGTGTGTTTAAGCGAATTTACACAAGACAAATACGTCAGAAATAGAAATAATAAGCTGCTGCAGAAAAAAAAAATCTTGAACTGATAAGAGAACAGGAAGGAATGAGTTAGAGATTGTAAAAAAATACAATAAAGAACAAATAAATGTGAATAAAATATGAGACTTGGTTTTAAAGTCTTATTCACAGCAGCTTGAAACTGGAATACCATCAGGCAGAAGGCTGCTTCAGTATCATCCAGCAACCGATGCTATAAACAAAGACTATATGTGTGTATTTCCTGTACTACCCGTTATTGTGTATTTCATTACAAATGTGCCAAGGCCTTCAGGGTATATCTGTATTTTAAGGATATTTTGTCCTCGAATAATTTGAAAACAGAAAAAAAGGATAGATTTTAAGTAAGCCTGACTTGTTATGCTGTTTTTTTTTAACTCGATCTTTTTTGTATTTTGAAAATCACAAGTTTTAAAGAGGGGTTCTGTGGAAATGTTATGGCCAATTACTATCTTACCTGTTGTAGAAAGCCTAATGAGCAGCCTCGGTTTTAGGGAAATGGTGTTTAATTCTGAGCAGATTGACAAGCTAATAGCTAGTCTGAGTGAGGCGAAGACCAAAATGCATTTCTTCTGTCTAAAAATAATTCCAGTCTCGCATTTTATAGGCTACTTTCACACTGCAGGCCTTGTTGCTCAATTTAGAATTTTTTGCTGAGATCAGTTTTTATTTTTACATATAGATAAATGTAACGTCCATCAAACACAAAGCCACCCACCTGTGCAGAAGAGGATGTGATGTCACATGCAGCATGCCTTGTTTACAGAAGTAAATATGTATAAACGTGTTAGTGTCTGTATTAGTTCTGAAGTTGTTTCAATCAGTCAACAACATTTTTATCTAGTATAAATGGAACAGATGTGCTGAAAATAGAAATCGTCATTTAGTTATTTTTGTGATTCTTATATCCATTTTACTTGTGTTTAAGTTTCCCCAGTGTTTTCTCCCCACATAGTTTTCTACTTCTACCCCTCCCACTCTTACCTGTTCCCAATCTGTAATCCCCCAGGTGTTTGGCGTTTCTCCCTCGTTACAGTCTCTGTACTGTGTGTGTGCTGTAGTTAGTTCCTTGTCTGTGTGTTACAAGCTGCTCATATTTTGTTCTTTCGAGCCTCCTAGTATTCACCTACTTGTGAATATTTTAGTGCCACAAAAGCTTTTTGGTTTCTTTTTGTAAATAAATTAGTTTTTTTTTTTCTTTCAGGCTGGCGTTTTGGTTTGTGCTTTGGGTCCCACACTCTCACCAAACATGATAGAAACAAACTCATGATGATGATCCAAGATAAATGTTGGTATTATATGTTGCTCAGATGCTCAGTCATCGAGACAAGATGAATCTAAAAAGTAAAAAGAAATGTAAAAAAAATATATATATATACATTTATATATATATATATATATATATATATGTGTGTGTGTGTGTGTGTGT